ACAAAAAATCTTGTAGAATAACAAAGGTTTAAGATTTAATACACTGTTTATGGTGTTTAAACAATGGATGATAACAAAAAATCTTGTAGAATAACAAAGGTTTAAGATTTAATACACAGTTTATAGTGTTTAAACAATGGATGATAACAAAAATCTTGTAGAATAACAAAGGTTTAAGATTTAATACACAGTTTATTAGTGTTTAAACAATGGATGATAACAAAAATCTTGTAGAATAACAAAGGTTTAAGATTTAATACACAGTTTATGGTGTTTAAACAATAGATGATAATAAAAGCTAGTAAACTGACAAAGGTTTAAGATTTAATACACAGTTTATAGTGTTTAAACAATAGATGATAACAAAAGCTTACAGAATAACAAAGGTTTAAGATTTAATACACAGTTTATAGTGTTTAAATAATAGATGATAACAAAAGCTTGTAAACTGACAAAGGTTTAAGATTTAATACACAGTTTATAGTGTTTAAACAATGGATGATAACAAAAGCTTGTAAACTGACAAAGGTTTAAGATTTAATACACAGTTTATAGTGTTTAAACAATGGATGATAATAAAAGCTTGTAGAATGACAAAGGTATTTTGTATTTCCAGTAATCAGGTAAATATCAAACATTATTTATTATATTGAAGAAAAGTCTTACAAATTACATATCATGTATTCAATGTGACAAACTCTTATTAAAGTATGTTCATATGATTCCTGTGATTAGAAATAGCAAGCGTACTGAATACTTCCTTATAGTTGGGTTACAATGTTGTTGGCTATTTGTATAGGTAGTGTTCTGTTCAACAGAGAAAAAAATGTTGTTTCTGTTCTGGCATCTGAAAAATGGTTTTCATGTTGTTCTCGTTGATTTTTGAAGTTACAAAATGTGAAATTTGAGAATTCAATTTTACATTTATTTTCTACCAGCAGCGTAGGGCTTTCTGAGTTATTAGTTTTCAATTTTCAGTTCTTAACTTCATTGGATGTTGCCAGTGTTAATAATTAACTCAAAGTTGGAAGTTGTACTCGGCATGACAGGACTGATAGATTTAGCGAAAGTTGGCAAGATTGTAGCATTCAAGACCCCCTGTTGTTCAGTTAGCACGAATAAAATCTGGAATCCTTTTTCTATGAGATATATTCTGTATCAAAAACCAGTCTTATTTGTGATGTGATGAAGCTTTTTAACTGCTATAGAACATCATTTTAACACTGATGGATACGAGTAGTTTGTTGGTTTCTTTTCGTAGGTTGTGCAGCTGGAAGAACTGCTTCAGGTTCGTCATTCTGTGTTTGTAATTGGTAGTACTGGCACTGGCAAGACTCAAGTGTGTAGGACCCTTCTGAAAACATATCACAACATGAAACGCAAACCAGTGGCTCATGACCTTAACCCTAAAGCTGTAACAAATGATGAATTGTTTGGGATAATTAACCCATCAACAAGAGAATGGAAAGATGGTAAGTGTAATATTAACAAATTATTAATTGTTTGGGGTAATTAACCTCTAAACAAAAGAATGGAAAGATGTTAAGTGTAATATTAACAAATGATTAATTTTTTGGGGTAATTAACCTCTAAACAAAACAATGGAAAGATGGTAAGTGTAATATTAGCAAATGATTAATTGTTTGGGGTAATTAACCTCTAAACAAAAGAATGGAAAGATGTTAAGTGTAATATTAACAAATGATTAATTGTTTGGGGTAATTAACCTCTTAACGAGTGAATGGAAGGACCATAAGGGTAATAGAAACAGAATTTATTTTCACTTTTTAAGTATTTAAAATCACTTGTCTTGTCCATTTCTGTTATCATGCAATGTGAACAATTATACTTGTATCATAAATAATTAAGAGATGTTTCCATGCATTAGTACCTTTTTGTAGTTGATATGATTCAGCAAAGATTACTCTGACCATTATGATAATAAGGTGTAGAAGCTCCATACATTTTAGTTTATTGTGTTAACCTCGGTAGATGATTTTCTCTCTTTATGCTTGATTTAAAAGAACGACATATACTGGAAAAATGGATCTTACTAATGTCTCATGTTTTACTACATTTGGTTTTCAAGAACAGTGCTTTGTATGTTGCATACATGTAAAGAAATCTGACCTGATTCTTACTTACAAACAGACAACTTGTGTTTGTATGCTTGTATACTAGTGCACAGGTTTCAGCTTTAATTTTAGGGACAGGTTGTACTCATGCTCTTGTCTACTACAGAAGATATTATTCTCTGATAACTGGTTTTTATCAGACTAATTCCAAAACATACTTACCTCCTCTCACACTACAGCTGTTACTCGACTGCCAGGGTTTCTTCTTTTGCCCATCTAAGCATTGGTCTGATTTTTTCTCACTTGTTCCAGTCTTTTATACCCCACCTGTGATGCTCTCCACCTACGTCAGTGCGTCCTCTATCCTGGTACTGTATATAATCACCTCATTCAGATAATGTTGTCACTTCTTCTCAACAAAGCGTCACAAACTGGTTTCCCAGTGCTATGATTGGTCAGAGATACTTTGAGCATTCTTCGTGTTACCTATTTGATTTTCATATAAATAAAAAAAATTCTGATTGGCAGCCTGATTTATGGTATGAATTCTCGGATTATTATTTCCGTCACGGAGGCAAATAATCTGGGGGGAAGTCACTCTTGGTTGAGACTATTAGTGATTTATTCGTAGTGAGATAGAGACATATATTTGGTTCTGTGGTGTTTCTCCAGGGATCTCTGAGGCTGCAATTGAGGGAGATCCTCAACATTCTGGAAAGAATTTAGAATCGCTTTTTCCTGTGCCTTCTTTTAGTTTGTTAGTTTCTCAGTCCCCCTGTGGTACAGTGGTAAGTTTAAGGACTTACAATGCCAGAATCCAGGGTTCGATTCCCTATAGTGGACACAGCAGATAGCCCAGTGTTGCTTTGCTCTAACAAAACAAACTTACCTGACTAAATGTTGTTCCATTCAGTGGTAATCAACACAGTTTTTAAGTGAAATATAAAACATAAAAGAGGCCACTTTGGTATAAGTTGCCAACTCATTCCTCAATCTGAGTTGGAATTTTTTACTAGGCTTGTGGATGTCCAAGTTCATGGTGTTCCATTTTTGTGTACAAGAGTCAGGTATTGTGGTTGAGGGTTTTACCTTTAGACTAGCATTGGCTTCATACGGGTTCTGCCAAGTCGTACAAGTTTTTCCTGTCACTTTCATTCCATACCACTGTGCACACACCATTACATAGACGACTGGTTACTGCTGGCACCATCTCATCAATTGTCAGAATATCACACCCTGATTCTACTTTCAGAAATAACCAAAGCATCTATTCTTGTTCCAATTCAATATATCATCAGTCAAGTTTTTGTGTTTATTTCATCACATCTCTCAGTTGGACTCAGCTGACTCCCATCTGGCTCCACGCTATGTAACAGGATGCCCAACTCTCACTTACTTCTCCTTCTCCAACTGCACAGATGGTTCTTTCTCTTTTGGAAATGTGGATATCACTTGAATCCTCATGTCATTGGAATGAGAACACAAAAAATCCTTTCAATGATCATTATGCAACCAAGGGATCATAAACATTGATTCACTGGATTCCCCAGTTTCCTTAGTCAGGATCATTCTTCGATCTTGAGGAGTTGTTAAGTCAGGACACTACTAAGATATGGGTTCCTCTGCCATCATCCAATCCAGAGTTCCATCTCTTCACAAATGTCTTGCTTCAGAAATTCCAGGGTCTACACATGGAAGATGAGGCTTCCCTACACAATGTTTTAGTCCTTCTTGTTCTTCAAAAGGCAATGCCTTATGGTTTGGGCTTATTAAGGGGAAAATCTTCAGGATTCACTCTGAAAATTCCATGGTGTTGTCTTGCATTTCTCATTGAGAAGGCATTTGGTCTAGGGGGGGGGTCCTTGTTTTTGAATTCTGGACCTTCTTTCTCCTGACTACTCCTCTCATATCACTCTTCTAGCTTGCCTTGTTTCATGGGTGATGATTGCAGTAGCAGATGAATTGTCTCAACCCAAACAGATTCTCCCAACAAAATAGAGGCTGTGTCACAAGGTTCTGTTGGATTGGCTCTCATTTTGTAACTCTGATTGGTGAGTTGGCTACTCATTGGAACACCCAACTACTGGCAATTTGTTCTCCAGTACCTCACCTTTGGGCTTTGGCAATGGGTGCATTCCATCAGGACCGGATGGGATTACAACTCTAGACCTTCCCTCCAATTCATATGTTACCCAGGGTGCTAACTATGATTTGTTCCAACCCATTGTCAGGTCCTGTTGATAGCATTGGATTGGCAGCTATACCCTGGTTTCTGCTTCTGCGGTACCTTCAGGAGTTCCCACCTCTGCTACTTCTTCTTAGGCAATCTCTGTGGAGGCAGCCATGATCTGACATGGTACACCCGGCTATCCAGAAGTGCAAGCTTCAGGCATAGAGGTTATGCATTCTTTTCCATGGCATCGGGGTTTAATTTCTAGAGTTGCCATGTGTCTGTCTCAGTGTTTGCTGAGTCCCACAATGGACATTTCTCAGTGGAAATGGAACACACATATTGGCAATATTGTATTGAGAGGAGGTTGAACCGACTTCAATCAGAAGTGCCAACCATAACTCGTTTTTTGACCTGGCTCTTTAGCATGGGTTTTTGTATCTTTCACAATCGCCCTGTATAAAGCAGCCTTATCGACTACTGTTTGATACTCAGGACAAAATGTTCTTTGAGTCCCCAGTACTCTCTGGTTTTCTCAAGTCCCTCTGGGTCCTTTGCCCCAAACAACTATTCCAGTTATGTAACTGGTATATTAAAGTTACATTACATGCCCTTTCTCAACACCTGTTTGTGACCTTATTTTCATATGCTATGTATCACCACATGATTCACAGAAGATTTCTCACCTTCAAAGTGAGCCCATAATAAAATCGTTGTCTATCATCTCTAAAGGCATTAGCGGGGCAACAAAACCTTCAAGACCCTCACTGAACATAACAACGATCAAAATCTAATCATCATAGAAGTGAGAAATAGTGATCAAATGAATCAGTGAAAAAAGATCTACCAACTTTCCTGTCTGACAGGGTCTTGGGTAAGAAGAACCGGTCTGAGGACGTAGGTAGAATGGTAAAGCGTTCTGTGGACAAACAGCACAAATCACCCCAACCGGTGTTGTCTGTAGGTCAGCAGCAATGAAAAATAAGCTTTCAGATAAATAATCAGATTTGTCACATTTCTATGTCTTTAGCATCCCAGTTGAATTTTCTGTGGGAGGACATTGTTATAGACTGGTATGTGGACCTCTCCCAGTACTTGTATCTCACATTATTTGTTAAGCTGGCAGTATATTCATCTGCAGGTTTTTGCCTACCCCTTGTAACTGTCTTAACCACTTCCGATTATACAAACGGGTGTGTATTTTCATTGCTACCTTTCAGGATCCCTTACCTCAACTTCACAGGATCCCACTCTGTGGCAAGTGTTGCACAGGCAGATGTGCTTTTATCAAACCAATTCCACACAAGCAACCACTAATTCAATATGCTTTATCTAGGTTGCAAAAGGCACTGTAGAAATGAGATGTTCCATAAGACCACCTAGAGGCTGACCAGATGATTTTACTGTACCATGCTGGGCTGCCACTCATACACTATCAAAAGATTCTGGTCGTCCCTGCTGATCATCAGATTAAATAAAACAGGATCAGTTTGCTTTTAAAAATTTAGGGAACTTCGTTCACCTATTGCATTCTTTCAAAAGCACTGTTCCTCAGGGCTCTCCAATGTTTATTATCTCACAGGTTCTACTAGTGGAGCTAGGGAGTCCTTACCACACTTGGTTTCCAGTCACTGGGGTGGTTGACAGAGGCTTTTTTCTCCAGAGTGTTAGACAAATTTCCTCCACTCTCAGAGAAGAGGGCAAAGTTGGGGCTCTCCTACTGGGTCACTGGATGTTTTTTCCAAGATGTTGGTAGGAAGGGCACCAACCGACGTGGGAGCCTACTGGTTAAGATTTGATGCTCAGCTACTTGGTTGGGTTGAGCATGGCTCTTCTTTTTGATCAATATTGGTTCAACACATTGTTTATGTAAGAGGATCCATTGTCTCCTCATAATTCCAAATGTAGAGTGGTCCCATCCTGGGTCATTGGTTGACCACAGTTTGTTCCACGTCCTCCCCATAATTCTGTGGCAAGTGGAACTTACATTGACCACATAGTTGGAGAGTGTGGATAAGTGTTCATAATTCCAGACTAGATGAGTTCTGTTTCCTCAGGTTGAGTAAGGCATACAGGATCCCATTATTCCAAGTTTGAGGTGTTGCCTTTTGGTCTTGTTCAGGTTGAGGAGAGGATTTGTTCACTTCAGTGTTGCTTATCTTCTTGTTGTGATTCTGGTGGCTCAAAACACATCACTCTATGGCTACAGGTTCGGATCCACTCATAAGTATAAATATATATATATATATCTTGCAGTCCAATTGTCCTAGCCACCAACGTGGGATATAGGGACCATGGCTCTATAATTCCAACCCTGAGCCTTGGCTATGTGGTTTAAGCCTGGCCAATAGTGATGATAAATCGTGTAGTTCCACCCACAATACATGAATTAAGTTCTGAGTGAAGAGCATACCTGTTCTGGATGTAGTGCAGTCTTCCACTAGGGTGCCAATCTTCTACTGACACACCCATGATTTATGCAGAAGCTTTCTGTATGGATAATGCCCTCATTGTCCCCTCCACCTTCTCAATGTGGGATTCTAGCTGTAGTGTGAGCATAGGTAAGTATGTTTGGGAAGTTAACATTATCTGTATTTCCAATAATACTTCCCTTCACTTTTAAGTGGGCTATAAAAGAGTGGAACAAACGAGAAAAAATTAGACAAATACTTAAATGGGCAAAGGAAGAAACCCTGGCAGTCGAGTAACAGCTGTAGTGTTAGCGAAGGTAAGTATTATTGGAAATACCTTTTCAATTTATTAAAATGTTAAGTTACATTCTTACTGTTATCTACCATATTTTTCTCAAAGTGATTGCAGTCATTAAATGGGTTATTTTTTTACATTTACTTAATAGTAAAAGGAACAATATATTTTCTTAGGATTATTTTCTGTTATAATGAGAGACCTTGCTAACCTTCCTGGTGACGGACCCAAATGGATTATACTAGATGGTGACATTGATCCCATGTGGATTGAATCACTAAATACAGTCATGGATGATAATAAGGTAGGAATATAATCTTCCTCGTTAACTTGTTCATTTCAAAAATCTCTTTTATTTTAGGATTATTTCATTGTAAGCTAAGGTGTATTATTATTATTTTCTATGAGTTGATGAAGAATACGGTATATATAAAATAAAGTTTATGTGTTTTCAATATTTTGTAGTATGTTGCTGTTATTTGTAGTTGGTTTTAGAAATATATTTTTATCTTTAATATTCTTATAAGACACTTTTCGTATTTAATCTTTGTGGAAATTAAATGTTTGTGTTATAACTTCTTAATAACTTTATTGAATTTCAAGTTTCTTATTTGTAGCTCTTTCAGTGTGTTGTTAGATTATATTATGTGAGTCATACATACATGTATATAATTATGCTTTTACTTATGGTCACTTGAATAAAAGCATTTATTTCACAATAGAATGCTTCATATTAAAGTTTTTATAAAATGGGTAGCAGTTCTGTGATATTGCTTAGCTTATTAACTTATAAAAATAGTTTTATCAATCTATATGATTAAAACTACTCTGTTCTTGGTGTATTTATCATAAACTTACCTATTGTCAATCTATATGATTAAAACTACTCTGTTCTTGGTGTATTTATCATAAACTTACCTATTGTCAATCTATATGATTAAAACTACTCTGTTCTTGGTGTATTTATCATAAACTTACCTATTGTCAATCTATATGATTAAAACTACTCTGTTCTTGGTGTATTTATCATAAACTTTCCTATTATCAATCTATATGATTAAAACTACTCTGTTCTTGGTGTATTTATCATAAACTTTCCTATTATCAATCTATATGATTAAAACTACTCTGTTCTTGGTGTATTTAACAAACTTTCTATCAACTACTAAACTTTTGATATGTATTGAACCATCTTCCAATAGGTAAGTTTATGATAAATACACCAAGAACAGAGTAGTTTTAATCATATAGATTGACAATAGGTAAGTTTATGATAAATACACCAAGAACAGAGTAGTTGTAATCATATAGATTGACAATAAAAAAGTTTATGATAAATACACCAAGAACAGAGTAGTTTTAATCATATAGATTGACAATAGGTAAGTTTATGATAAATACACCAAGAACAGAGTAGTTTTAATCATATAGATTAACAATAGGTAAGTTTACGATAAATACACCAAGAACAGAGTAGTTGTAATCATGTAGATTGATAATAAAAACGTTTATGATAAATACATCAAGAACAGAGTAGTTTTAATCATATAGATTGACAATAGGTAAGTTTAGGATAAATACACCAAAAACAGAGTAGTTTTAATCATATAGATTGACAATAGGTAAGTTTAGGATAAA